GGTTAACTCACTTCATCTACTCAACATGTTTATTATCTGGATCAACTATTCTCACCCTTTGACTGACTAGAACATGTACAAGATATGGTGGTGGATTAGACCCAAGGCAGTATGCCTCTAGAGATTGTATGATTGCCCACTGCCCTATAGTGCTGTTAAAGTTCTTGGATGGATGATCAAAAATTGTAGAAAAAGATGAGATTTGGGAGAATAGGATGTAACTATTTTTAAAATACCTTAAGCATTCATTTCCATTGGAGATGTCCTTGAGTAGTTGTATATGTGAGTCTGGAATTCAGAGGCAACATCTGGACTGGGCATAGAAATTATAAAAATTTTGGAATAGAAATTTTAATGTTGCCAGCCTAGAATGGGATTGCAGATTATCCACAAAGAGAAACCAAAGCAGTGAGTTTATCCCATAAGCACTCCAAACTTCAGAGAAAAGAGGTAGCAAAATATCCTAAATTGTGGTAAGTGAGGCTAGGCAAGGTGGTTCACACATGCAATCCTAGCACTCTGGGAGGCCGAGGTTGGAGGATTGCTTCGAGACCAGCCTGAGCAAGAGCAAGACCCCCGTCTCTACCAAAAATAGAAAAAATTAGCCGGGCATAGTGGCCTGCACCGGTAGTCCCAGCTACTTGGGAGGCTGAGGCAGGAGGATCACTTAAACCCAGGAGTTTGAGGTTGCTGTGAGCTAGGCTGATGCCATGGCACTGTAGCCCAGGCAACAGACAGAGATTCTGTCTCAAAAAAGAAAAAAAAAATTCTGGTAAGTGAGCTTAGAAGAAAATCAGCAGAAGTCTAAAGCAGCAGCATTTTGGCAGCAGGGACCATTTTCATGGAAGACAATTTCCCCACGGACTGGGGTGGGGCATGGTTTCGGGATGATTCAAGTGCATTACATTTATTGTACACTTTATTTCTATTATTATTATACTGTAACATATAATAAAATAATTATACAACTCACCATAGGTTGGGGACCCTAGGTCTAAAGAATACATTATTTAAAGAATGAGGATGTGGCCAAGCTGGTGTGATGTATAGTTGGATGAGAACAAACATAAGTTTTGGATATGATAAATACAGATCACTGGGAAGGTGGGTTATGGGTGCTGAAGGGCAACCTAGCCACTATCTGGGACAGCTTCTGATTCCCTCTTCCCTGGGAAAAGCTTCATTTAGGGCCAAGCCTCAACTAATCACATTATATGTACTATTAGCTCTTTCTTTGGCTATCATATCTGATTGATGCAGGCATCTACCCAGCTGGATCAATAAGATTCACTTTCCCAGAAATTGGGAAAGGAAAGAGAAAGACAAGCCTTTCTCTTCACAGGAATGTTCAGCAATGCCTTAAGTGTAGCCAGCAGCCTTTCAAAAGAGTTGTTTTTGTTTTTATTTTGTTACCTGAGATTGGTTTTTGATATTGGCATCTAGAAGAATTTTAATTAACACACTCGCCACAGTTTCAGAATACATACAAGCTTATATTTGTTGAATACATAATATGTTCATATTATTTATCATACATTGTCTCAGTCCTAACAAAAATATAAAATTTCTCCCACATTACAGATAAAGGAAGAGTATTTAATAACTTGCTACAGACCACATAGCTAGAAAATGGCAGAACAGGAACTTCAAGTACATATCTTCATGGTTCAAATGCCACTTTCTTTTTCTTTAGGCCTCCCTAATGTCATGAGAAATAAGAATAATAGTAATAGCAGTAATGACAACAGTCAAAACATAGAGTGTTTACCATGGGCCATGAACTGGTCAAAATGCTTAGCAAATATTTAACTTTGCTTCAAAACCTTATAAGCTAAGTAATACTATAATCTACGAATGAGGAAACAGAGGCACGGAGAGGTCAAGTAACTTGACCAGGCCCGGCGCGGTGGCTCACGCCTGTAATCCTAGCACTCTAGGAGGCTGAGGCGGGCGGATTGTTTGAGCTCAGGAGTTCGAAACCAGCCTGAGCAAGAGCGAGACCCCGTCTCTACTAAAAATAGAAAGAAATTAATCGGACAACTAAAAATACATAGAAAAAATTAGCCGGGCATGGTGGTGCATGCCTGTAGTCCCAGCTACTCGGGAGGCTGAGGCAGAAGGATCGCTTGAGCCCAGAAGTCTGAGGTTGCTGTGAGCTAGGCTGACGCCACGGCACTCTAGCCCGGGCAACAGAGTGAGACTCTGTCTCAAAAAAAAAAAAAGTAACTTGACCAAAAATGCATTCCAAATAATCATCTTTCTGTACAGGTTTCCCAAAACCTCAAGAGGGGTATTGGGAATGTTTCTTATAAACTTAACATATGATTTGCTTACTGGTGTAGACTACTAAATATTCAGGCCTTATTAAACATATTTACTAAGATGCCAAAAAAAAAGACATGTTCAGGCCAGACGTGGTGGCTCACACCTGTAATCCTAGCACTATGGGAAGCCCAGGTGGGCAGATTGTTTGAGCTCAGGAGTTCCAAACCAGCCCGAGCAAGAGCAAGACCCTGTATCTACTAAAAAAATAGAAAGAAATTACCTGGACAACTAAATATATATATATAAAAAATTAGCCGGGCATGGTGGCACATTGCCTGTAGTCCCAGCTACTCGGGAGGCTGAGGCAGAAGGATTGCTTGAGCCCAGGGGTTTGAGGTTGCTGTGAGCTAGGCTGACGCCAGGGCACTCTAGCCCGGGCAACAGAGTAAGACTCTGTCTCAAAAAAAAAAAAAAAAAAAGACATGTTCAAAGGGTCTCAAGATAAAATTCATGGACTTCTTCCTTAATCAAGCAGAAAATAAACTCCCCAGTTTTTATTCACCACTAAATCTTGTGAAATTCAGTCAGTTTGGGCCTTGAGGCCTCTGAATCAAAAATTTTCAGAATAAGCTACCTTGCATTCTGAGTTATAAAATGTTAAAACCTGACCTAACTTCTTAAGAATATATAGGCCTATTGCACTCAGTATATAAATGGCAAAATAAACTCCAAACCTGTTCAATGTTTTTTTTTTTTCTTTAGTATTATGTCTGCCTATTTCTCTCTATTGTTAAATTTTGGGTATCTAGATCTCAGGCTCTGAAATCCTGGACCTCTAATTGTTGGCAGAAATCCATGGAACCCTGGGATTTACTTGAGCCTCAGAGGATAAATGTGCCCCGTAAAATTTCTATGTCCATATGTCTATTTTTTCAACAGATTCTCAAAGGAGTTTTTGTTCCATATACTGTTAAGAACTACTCACCTAAAGGGACACAGTACATTAAAATATCCAGATTACAACTGCTTAAAACATATGGATAGTCCACCCATTGGTCTCTAAAACATAATGAGCCTCACTGTGTTTTCTGTCTATAATGGAACATAATGGAAGAGATACAAGAGGCTCATTTGGCATCAGCTTTTCAAGCTTTCAGATCAATAGAAGACAATTCCTCAATGCCAAATAAGTTTTTTAAAAAATTCTGTATTTTGTAAGGTAAAGTTAAGCTGCTATAACAAAGAGACTTAACAATAAAAGAGCTTAAAGACAGTTATTAATATTTTTGTCTCATGAAACAGATCCATCATGACTTGTCCAGGTCTGTGGACCAAGTCTGCTTCTTGCGATCAATCAGGAACCCTCATTCCTTCCAGGTCAGTGTCCTGTCATCTCCTAGAGCCTGATGTTCTCTACTGGGTCAAAATATCAGCACCATTATAATTCATGAGAAGAGAGAATAGGGCAACATGAAAAGTTTTAAAGCCCAGAACTGGGAATAACTTTTGTTAACTTCTACTGACATTTGGAAAAAACAGCCACATGCTCACATCTGCTACCAGAAAGGCCAGGAAACGTTGCCTCTGGTTAGACAGCCACCTGTCCAGCTATGCCTTTATTATAAGAAAGTAAACAAATTTTATTGGAAAAACACCAGTCTACACAATGTTCTTCACAAATTAAAAGTGATTGTGAGGACATCAAATAATACAATGGCATACTGACAGGTTTAAGAGATTGCAGAAAGTCTACAGTGGTTAAGAACAAGGAATGGAGTAACTCACTGGAACACTGCTGACTCAATTTTGTCTCATTTCCTGAAGTGTAGGAGGAAAGAAGGTGGGATTTGAATCATGACGATCTGAACCAGAAAGGCCCATTCCAGCACTTTTTGTCATGATATGTGGCATGTAACCACAGTACCGTCATCTATAATTTAAGGTAAAATAGGCTTGTAATAAAGTCTAACATTATTCAAGATAGAGAACCAACATAAAGGACTCAGTAAGCATAACTATATATTTATACTGACCACGGGTACATTAATAAAAGTTTTTTTTGGATTCAAAGAGATAAACCAGTAGCACTGAATAGACGGGAGGACACCTCAAGGAAACAGAGCCAAACAAGTTGGCCTGTTCCAACATCGCACTCTTAAAACTTCGAGAATCCTACATACTTCCGTTGTTTCTCCCACAGGCCTTACTGCGTTCAACATACAAACTTTTTATCTTTGCTAGTCCCCACAACCGTCACTCCCACTCTCACGTGAGCTCCATGAAGACATGCCATTTTGTCTTCAACATAGAACAGTGCCCCCGTGGCGCTAGACACCAACTCGGCTTCTCCCCTATTGTTTGCAGCAGCACTAGCCTTTGCCACCTGCTTTCTGTGCTGCCCTCCACCTCCACTGCCTTGCTTATCCGGCTGTTTGGAGTGTTACCTGTAGTTGACCGTTCTAAAACGTCATATTTATTACTATGGCACACAAAACACATACCAAGTACAAACTAATTTGCTCTTAATTAGTTGAAAGCGTATTAAACAAGAATTAGCAAATTGTGAAAAAAATCACAAGGAATGTACATACGTTACTAAACACACGCAAAAAAGCAATAGTCACAAAATGGCTACTAACTCCTTCAAATGAACAGATAGGTGGCCCTGAAAAGGGCCGTTTTATTTGTAGAAGTAACCGGATTTAAGGATTAGCCGCCAAAGCCGTAAAGGGTGCGTCCCTGACGCTTCAGCGCATATACCACATCCATAGCTGTAACAGTCTTGCGCTTAGCATGCTCCGTGTAAGTGACAGCATCGCGGATTACGTTCTCCAAAAACACCTTCAACACCCCGCGAGTCTCTTCGTAGATAAGACCAGAAATACGTTTTACTCCGCCGCGACGAGCAAGACGCCGGATAGCGGGTTTTGTAATGCCCTGGATGTTGTCCCGCAACACCTTGCGGTGACGCTTAGCACCCCCTTTGCCCAGGCCCTTACCACCCTTACCACGCCCAGACATTGTAACAGCTACAACGCAAAGCTTCCAACACAATTCCTCTGGCAAACCCACACAGCACTTTTATAGTAACATAACGGACCTGTTTGAAAACCTCAAGGGCAGGGGCGGAAACACAGTCAGTTCCCGCCCTTCTGCGCCATTCTTTGCTCAGACACTGGAGGAAACCAGGAGGGGCCTGAGGCAACAGCAGAGCCTTGGTTGGGACTTAACAAATGCTCCTACTTAGGGATATACTTGTGCGTGTATATACATAGAAAACTCACAGCCATTAGCTAGGTCAGCAGATCATACACTCTCCACAAAGAAGCCTGCCTCTTGTCCCTCACATTTCCCAGGATATGAGATAATAAGTACATCCTGTTGTCCCTTATAATATACTTTCAATATGATTTTAAGTAATTCATATATTTATTGTTTGAGTTTCTAAGATTATTTTTATTGACTTATGGCTCTCTAGTTAACTAATCAGGGCTTTTTGGCACGGAGGCTAGATAGTCCTATTGAAGGAACTAAAGATACATGAAGTTTACACATTTAGAGGTTAAGTCAGGTTAAAATCACTGAGGGATGCATTGAAGACTTATGAATATGTATATCCCAAAGCAATGAGAACCTTGTTGTGCTGTGAATTGGAAGTTTATAGCTTGACTGTGTCCTTAATCATGGACAGCTTATAGTTAGCACTATTGTCTTTCACCGCATTCTATTACCCCAACCGGCTGGCCTCACAGCATCCAACCAAACCATGGAAACAGACTGTTCCATATACTAGCTGTGTCGTCTTAGGCAGCCTATACTCAATTTCCTTGTTTTAAATGTATAAGAAAGTCTAATGTATACAGTATTTGTTACAATTAATACATATAATCCATGCAAAATTCTTAGAATAATATCTAGATTGTTCATGAGCAATCAGTAAACATTAATTATTATGGTATGTTGTAGTATTCTGGCTGTTCTCAATTCCTCTCCTTAAATTCACCCCTCCGAAGTGATGAGCCTAAGAGGCTATCCTAATTTGCTAAAACTTGGTCTTGAGAACTCCTCCAAATAATAAATACTTAAAGACTTATTTGATCAATAATACCCTTGAGGAGTTCCAAGTGCTTTGGTTGGATCATTTGGCTATTACTCCACAATGACCTGTGAGGAGAACTAAGTTCATCACAGCTGTTCCATGAGTTTATGGTACACAGAAACAGATTGCAGAGTAAGGAATCCCATGAATGTTGGGATGAAAATCATATACTAGTAACAATAATCTGGTGGGGATGTGTAAGGGTAAATGGTAGTAATTCTCTTAATTTATATAGTGTAAAAAGGTAATTTCCTCTCTCCTATTCTTACAGAGTTTTCTTGGAAAAACGATAAGAAAAACCCCCATCTGTTACTTGGCGCATCAGCCACCTGAGACCCCCACTCCTCACGGAAGACCCGCATCAGCATAACACTAACCTATTACCTGTCCCACCAACTAATCTACTACCCGGCACATCAGCATAACACTAAACCTATTACCTGGTGCATCAACTACCCTATTACCTGGTGCATCAACATAATATTAATCTATTACCTGACACATCAACTAACCTATTACTTGACACATCAACTAACATATTACCTGGCGGGCATTAGCCACCTGATACCCCACCCTTCGGACCACCCCAATTTCATAAAAGTGGGAAAAATCGGGTAGACAGGGCTCAGAATTTGGTGGCGAGACCCCTTGGGGTCCGCCGGCGAATAAACTGATTCTCCGACTCTCTGTGTGCTGCTCGGTATGTCCTCAGGACCACTCGCTGTAACGCTTGCTGTAACAAAAATAGTAAGTGTAAATTTTTATTCTACCTTTAAGAATAGAGATAAATCTTTCTAAGGATTAAGCCCAGTTTCCAATTTTAACAATGTACCAATATCTCGAATGTCATGGGCCAAATAACCTTTGCATATGATTAAATGTACCTACGGAATTCATTTAGAAGTCTCTCAGGAGATTATCACAAGTTATACACTCTGTATCTCAAGGAGATAGAAGAAGTTATTGTTCTTTTTTCTGCTTTGCTGTATAAAACATGTGAGATTTGTCCTAATTTTTTTGTCACTTTTGTGCTACCTTACATGTATGTAAATCTATTAATGTTTACTCAATAATAAATCATGTTCTTTCTCCCTCTTTTATATTGGTACAGAAGGGTTATTTTGCTTCCAGAATTGTTTTCTTTCTCCAACATATGAAGGGACCAAAAGCCCCATGGCGATTTTACGTTCCTTTATTTTATATTAAATAGAAATATGATTGCTAAACATGAATTCTCTGTCTAGATTAATATTAGTATTAAAATGTTCCTTAGAAGGAGAGGAATAGTATGGATTACTCAGAGGTCAGTGGTAGAAATTAGAACAAGCTATTTATTTTATAATTTCTCTGCATCTTTAACAGTATATAAGGCCCCAACCAGTCAGGTGTGGCTCTCACTCAATTTAAAATGATGAACAGGAATAAGCACTACTATGTCAACAGTACTGCACAGGGCATACAGGTGTAGAAAGCACGCATTTGGGCAGTAGCCATGATGGCAGAATAAAGCAATGGAAGGAAGTTAAGGACACTCGAGTTCTGTTCTGGTTCCACACAAAATCCCTGTATGTATTTGTGTAAGTTCTTTTATCTGACTGTATGCCGTATTTGTAAGACCAACATTATAATTTTAGTTCTTTACAATCTACTACTAGAAAGATTTCAAAGTGGAAAAGTGTGCAGTTTAATATAAAATGTATCACAATGTCCCTTAAAGAAATTGATGTAGGAATTCAAAAGAGTAAGAGATCGCATCCAATTTGAGAGATGGAAATGACATATGTAAACATTTCAAAGTATGCCATTAGATTAGCTTGAAGTATGCTTTGGCTTTAAAATAGGGTAGGGGAGAGAAAAAAGGGAAAGAAAATAAACTTGAAAAAGATACTGGAAAAGGTTACATAATTTGCCCAAGATCATGTAGCTTGTAAGGGGCAAACCCAGACTCAAATACAATTCATAGTGTTTACAAATTCCATGCTTGTTATACTAAACCACACTGCCAGAATGATGACTTAAGGCCGTATAAAATACTTTGCATACCATACCAAAGAGCTTATTTTTAAATTCTAAAGCTATAGGAAAATGGGGCATATAAAATTGAAGTTCATTTGAAGAATATTTCACTCTGAGCAATGAAGAGGATGAATTACAGCACAGAGGGATGAGAGGTTGTAAAAATAGCCAGCCCAAACAAGAAATAGAAGAGTCAGAACAACCAGGATGGGGAAATAAAAGAGGAAAGATGAATTTAGGAAGAATTCACCAGACTTGGTGACAGACTGATATTAGTGCCAAGGGAAAAATGGAAGTTCCAGTTAATAAAAGAATCGTGTTGTTATTAATAGAATTTATAGGAATATCAATCAAAAATTTACCTCCTAGATGAGGTTGGATATGTTGAGAGTCTGGTATAGGCAAAAGATAAAGCAGGTATCCAACAATTACCCAGAAATGGATGCTTGCTGCTTAGGCAAGAGGACTGGCCTAAAGGGAGAGAGTTCAGTGTTATCTACATGAAAGTAAATCATGAATTCATGAAAGTAAATAGGACAGTACCTTGGAGAATTCCTCCAGTTATAAGTAAAAGCTCTTCCTTTGTTGGTGCTGTATATAATCAACTATAACAGGTCAAAACCATTTTAACATTAGGAACACATGAGCTGCAAAAAAAGTAAATACACAAAGTAAATATGATTTATATTTAGCTGGTTTCTCATCTCAACTATTTTAATTATGTCTTTAATTTTTATTAATTTAAAATTTGTTACTTTCTTCATGTCCAAGTTTGATGTGCTACATAAAGTAATAAGTCATTTGTTAATTTTGATGGGATCAAGTAGTGTGAAACCTTCACATCTCATGGTATTTGCTCTGTCCCCAGCATTTCTCTTCTTCATAGTACTGAAGTGGAAGATTGGAAAATTCCTCTAAAGTGGAATTCTAGAAATTCCACTACCGAGCTTTTTTTTCCTTGTGATCCTTGCCTGGGCCCCCTCCTCACCTGCGACTTTGCCCTCATACATCACCTGTAGCAATTAGTGTACCAGGCTGTAAAGTAGCTTAAGGCTCTGCCTCACTAAAGTTAACCCTGTTGTGACCATGCCCCTCCTCCTCTCCTGCCCTGTGACCTTTCCCCTCATAAATCACCTGTAGCCTGTAGCAATTAGTATACCAGGCTGTAAAAATAGCTTAGGACCCTGCCTCACTAAAGTTAACCCTGTTATAGCCCTGCCCCTCCTCCTTAAGCAGAGTGTATAAAAGACTGCAATGCTCTTTGGTGCTCAGAATTTGGGGAGAGTAAATTCCCCTCTGAGCCTTGCCGGCCGGCACATAAAACCTGTATTGCCAAAATCTCTGTGTGTGTCTCTCGGTATATTCTCGGTCAGCCCTGCCGTAACAGTACTAGTGAGACATAGACCTGTGCATGCTTCAAAACAAACATATGTTGAAGACATTGAGGAATGAAAAAGAAAACAAATTAAATCACTTAATCTCATCACTCTATTTTCTTAACATTAAACATGCATTGCACTATGTTCACTATAAGTCTATATCCTTGCATAAACAAATGTACTGAATATAAAACATTTTTTTTTTAATTTTCCTCTTTTAAGGGAAGTGTGTGTGTGTATATATATATAATCCTTGATCCTGGTACTTGAATATTTTGCCAAAGTCTATGTTCCCAATGTCCCAAAGCATGACAGACCTCTATATTGAGAGACTCATGAACATTTTAATAATTGATTCCTCCTCATTAACACCAATAAAAGTACAAGAATTTTTTTGAACCCATAAAGGAGTCCAACTCTTTCTTTTATGCCTTTTCCTGGATCTCCCCTGAGATCAGCTATTGCAAATAGTCCCCATGTCAGGAGGATCATTGATCACTGACTGCATTTCCCATTTTCCTAGAGACATGTTGAACTCTTGCTTGATTCCCCCCAATTAACTACACTTCCAAATACTCACATAAGCCATTATAACAATTTTACAGCCCAAACTAATTCTCCTTATCAGAAAGAGCTGTTCTAAGTGTCCCTCACTGCTATTCTTGTGGAGAAATCCAAAAAGAGCCTTATGTAAAATAAATTTTCTGGATAAATCTAAACTAAAACTCAAGCAGTTGTTGAATTCATGAGAAGCCAGGAATATGTAAAATATTATTAGAGAGCAAGCAATTGAAGGCACAAAGGGAAGAATTTATATTTTAAACGAAAATCAAGAAGTTGTATTTTTGACCTGTGAATCTCAGAGTTAGGGGCTTTGGATAAAGGCTGAGGCCAACGAGATAAAAACTGGAGAAAGAAAATATAAAGGTCTCAAAGCTTCAGCCGTTCCAGTTCATTGTAGTATAGAATTGGTGTGATTCCCCCTTGGGAAATTTTAATTATTTTGCTTTTCTGAATTGTAACAGACACAATTCAGGCATAGCTGAACTAGGTTGCTGCAAAGCTGTAAGATTGAGCTGGTAACCAATCAACGCGCAGTGTCACAGTATGTGACGTACACAGGATCACACACACACACTCCCAGACTAACAGCTCAACTAGGAGACTTTTTTTTTTTTAACTGATAGATATCCAAATCTACGATCATGTCCAAAGTAGCACCTGCCCTGACTCCTGCTCTCTATCCCACGGAAAAGACAGCGGTAAAGAGAGATGTCTACAAGTCCACAGGTGTAGCGAAGTGCAAGGCGTCCTGGCCCCGGTGTCCTAGTTCATCCCCAAAGCCTTAGCAAGCCTCCAAGGAGCTCAGCGGCATGTCTCCCCTAGTTCAAGGAGACGCTGGCGGCTACGACGTGAACAGCCGAGCCTTAAGAACCTGGTGAAAAAGGGCACCCTCGTGCAGACCAAGGGCACTGGCGTCTCGGGTTCTTTCAAGCTAAACAAGAAGACAGCCTCTGGGGAAACCAAGATTCGGGTCAAGAAAGCAGCCAAACCCAACATAGCTGCCGCGGCAGCCAAAACAACCAAGAAAGCGACTTCAGCGGTCATATCTTGGAGGACTAAACAGATCCCAGAGAAGCGTACAGCAGCCTCGGGGGCAAAAAAAGTAGCCCAGAGTCTGAAAAAGTTGAAAGCAGACCAGTGGAAAGTCGCCAAGACTCCAACAGCTTCCAAGCGCAAAACAACCAAAGCTAAAGGGCCAAGCCCAAGAAGGCTGCCCCTCTGTATACAGACATCTTAAAGGCTCCTAAAAGAGCCACCCAATCAATCCAGTGAACTCTTGGGTAAGAGGTGAGAATGCTTACATCTCGGGGCAGCAGGTTTCCAGTTTATGGATAGTAACACGGTACACAGCATCTTTTATAGAAAAGGTGGCTGGCTCTGAAAAGAGCCACTGGGTTAGGCTAGCACACGCTCACCAATTTACGCCCTCTCCCCACGAATGCGGCGCGCGAGCTGGATATCCTTGGGCATGATGGTGACGCGCTTGGCATGGATAGCACACAGGTTGGTGTCCTCAAAGAGCCCCACCAAGTAGGCCTCGCAGGCCTCCTGCAGCGCCATCACCGCGGAGCTCTGGAAACGTAGGTCGGTCTTGAAGTCCTGCGCGATCTCACGCACCAAGCGCTGAAAAGGCAATTTGCGGATCAACAGCTCGGTCGACTTCTGGTAGCGGCGGATCTCGCGCAGGGCCACGGTTCCGGGACGATAGCGGTGGGGCTTCTTCACGCCGCCGGTGGCCGGGGCACTCTTGCGAGCCGCCTTGGTGGCCAGCTGCTTGCGCGGCGCCTTACCGCCGGTGGACTTGCGAGCTGTCTGCTTAGTACGAGCCATCACAAATTTTTGAAACCAGATAGCTGACGGAAAAACGAAAATATTAACTTTTCTACCTGTATATATAAAGAGAGTCCTGTTCTGATTGGACAAAGCAGTCGTTCCTCTGCAGCTTGCAACCAAGGTATTGGTGGCGACGTTCACCCGCTGATCACAGGAACCTCCTCTGCTTTTAGATCAAATATCAAAATCTTCCTCGATCCTCCTTTTTAATTCCTGGTGTTTCAACTTTACTCGCGTGTCGCTTTTTAAATCCTTTTTATTTAAAATGTTGCTTTATATTTAGATTATCTAGTTCTTAAAATGATATATTTTACTTGCTGCATGTATATATAAATTTTGGAGCCTGAAACTGGGTTTTGATCAACTTTTTGAAAAGGCGCGCGCTAGATGTGATTGGCCAAGCCTTCCCCCACTCCCGCCCCCTCTTAAGTTCTGAAAAGCTGATTTCACCACACTATCTTGACTTGCCTACTTAAACTTTTGGAGATGTTTTTAAAGTATAGATTTGTTCCAGATGCACCATGACTATTAGCTCTTAGTAACAGTTTCAAAATTGATATTAAACTAAATTAACACAGTTACATTAAAATACGAAAAAGCGCCCTTTTACCTTTTAAAAGTTCAACTGAAGCTTGTGTAAAATGGTGTTAAAAAAATAGCCAAATATATAAACGGTACAAAACGTTGCTGTGTGTCCTTTCAAAGTGACGCCAAACACCTTAAGAAGCTCTGCCACAGAACCATCTGAGTTCAGGGAATAGTTTTGTATTCCTACTTAAAATTGATCGAGGACAGCTCAATAGAGTCGGAATTGGCTTGTGAAAAGCAAAAAAACCCACAAATCGAAAAACCCTTATAGCCTGCAGGCGTCCCATTAAGACACAGAGAAGATAACACAAAGTGTGTGGTCTTACTGCTTTATTAGATTTGGATGTTTACTTGTCAAGAGCTATGCTTACCAGTATTTCTACCATCTTTTAATAGCTTTGCAGTCCGAAGGGCCGGCTGCTAATTTATTTAAATTACCTATAGTGCAAGCTTTCTCCCCATGTCTTGCTTCACTTCCTTGTTTATTTATGGCAACCTTAAGTTGGACTGTAAACCTCAGGTTTGTTTTAGTAGACATCTAATTGTTATAAACTAGCAACTTGAAGTAGGGAAAATGCAAGCCCCTTTAAGGAATACATGGGTGGCTCTGAAAAGAGCCTTTGGTTAAGAATGACTCCGTTAAGATCCGAGACACTTATTTTCTGAATTTATTTGCCCTTGGCTTTATGGTGGCTCTCAGTTTTTTTCGGCAGCAGCACCGCCTGGATGTTGGGCAGGACTCCGCCCTGCGCGATGGTGACTTTGCCCAGCAGCTTGTTGAGCTCCTCGTCGTTGCGGATAGCCAGCTGCAGGTGGCGCGGGATGATACGCGTCTTTTTGTTGTCCCGTGCTGCGTTGCCCGCTAACTCCAAGATCTCAGCGGTTAGATACTCCAGTACTGCTGCTAGATACACTGGCGCGCCGGCTCCCACTCGTTCGGAGTAGTTGCCTTTACGCAGCAAACGATGAACTCGGCCCACGGGGAACTGAAGACCAGCCCTAGAAGAGCGAGTCTTAGCCTTAGCACGGGCCTTTCCACCTTGTTTTCCACGTCCAGACATTTTCAGATACCAACAAAGGTGTTCAACGAAGAAAATAGAAATGCAGATACGAATTTTCCTTGCAGATGAGAAGCAATTATACTTGCAGGCAGAATTGTAAATTCCGCTGTTTCATTGGCTAAACCGCTTTAAATAGGCAACCAATCGCAAAGAGGACTTAGAATCACTTCATTTGCATACCACGGTACAGCCTGGGACAATTTATCCAATCAAAAACTAAGTTTTTCAACACCAGTTTTGCATAGGAGCCCTACAAATATTACCAGCGTTAGAGGGAAGACTCATGCCATTTTTTGATTGGTAGACAGTTTTGTAGCTATAATGCCTGAGCCAGCTAAATCCGCTCCTGCGCCCAAGAAGGGTTCTAAGAAGGCTGTGACTAAAGCACAGAAGAAGGATGGCAAGAAGCGCAAGCGAAGCCGAAAAGAGAGCTATTCTGTGTACGTATACAAAGTGTTGAAGCAGGTTCATCCTGACACCGGCATCTCGTCTAAGGCCATGGGCATCATGAATTCCTTCGTTAATGATATCTTTGAGCGCATCGCGGGCGAGGCGTCTCGCTTGGCGCATTACAACAAGCGCTCGACTATCACTTCCCGGGAAATCCAGACGGCCGTGCGCCTGCTGCTACCAGGAGAGTTGGCCAAGCACGCTGTGTCTGAGGGTACCAAGGCTGTCACTAAGTACACCAGCTCCAAGTAGTTAAAACGCACAAAACGTTTTCATACTCAAATTCAAAGGCTCTTTTAAGAGCCACCAATTTTTTCAGCAAAAGAGTTGTAATTATTTACATGTTTTCTGTGATTGCCTAACGAGTTGGCTTTTCTGTTTTAAAGTATTCTTGGTTTCCTGTAGTGTGGTGCTAGTATGTTCCCTCAAATATATAGGCTCTTTGGTCGAAAACATACTGATACTGTACATGATGGTTTGCATGTCTGTGTAACTGTAACTGCCCTTTGCCTACAGAGCTGGCCCTGTACTTAAATGTTGCTGTGATGTGTTCCTTACCAAATGAAAGGTGGTCTACACTGGCAAAATACCACTCATGATCCTGCTCGTGATTCTGGCAATCCAGGAAAAGAACAACCTTGAGATACTGTGTTTCTCAAGCTATGTATTTGTTTTTACATCGGGGTTGACCCAATATCAGCTAATTTTTATTCCAGTAGACAAAAAATGTAATTTTTAAATTAAAAAAATAGTTCATGTCACTAGCTACAACCACCACCTTCCTGTCATATGTACACATATAAAGATAATGTATTTTTACACTTTTTGTAATCACAAACCTTACTTAAGGTTATAAACTGCCATCAATGGCATTCCATGTAGAGTAAATGCTGAGAATGTATGTAGAAAATATTTCGGAATTTCAGTTCAGTCAGGAAAAAAGTAATACTATTCTATATTTTTGTATAATTTCTTTCAAGACTAACAATTTCTCACTCCCTACCCAACACATAAATGTACAAACATACACATAAACATTCAAGTAAACAAAACACACAACATGAAAAATGAAAGCAACAAGAAAAATCTAGAAGAATGAAAACTGAAAATACCAGATAATTTTCTTCATGTGAAAGTTTACATCGTTATATAACAGTCAATTTTTGCTTTCTATAGTCCCAGAAGTACATATCTAAACTAAGGTCTACATCAATGTTAGGTGAGTAAGTAAACTTCCTAAAATTACATGTAAAAGAAGTGTCTATATGTGGTTCCCCTTCGCAGAGTAGAAATTATGTAGCTTTCTATCAAATTCCAAAAATATTGTGACTCACTGCAATAGGCTGAATAATGCCACCCCAGTTATGTTAACATCCTAGTCCCTGTAGTCTGAATTCCTGGAGTCTTTTGTTAGGTTACCTGACAAAGGACGATTAAAATTGTACCTAGAATTAAGGCTACTAATTAGCTGACCTTAAAGTAGGAAGATTATCTTGGATCATACAAGTGAACTCGATGTAATCAGATGGGTCCTTAGACGTGGAATAAGGAATTTGAATTAGAAAGCAGAGAGAAGGCAGCATGAGAAAGATTTGGCCATAGATTTGAAAATAAAGGAAAAGGTCCATGAGCCAAGGAAACAGGGTGGCCTGTAGGAAGTGAAAAGGCAAGAAAACAGATTTTAGCTCCCTTAGATCTTTAGTTAAAATCAAACTCACATTTAGATTTTAGCTCAGTAAGATCATGACCGAATACTGATTTATAGAACTATATAATTATAAATTTGTATTGTTTTAAAGCACGAAGTTTGTGATAATTTTTCAAACCAGCAATAGGAAATTAATACACCTGCATGTTTAAGAATTATTGATTAATACATTCAATAATCTTTAAAATTATATGTATTTAAATTTAAATGTGTAAATACTACTAAAATTATTATAGATACATGTAAATTCTTCCTAAATATCTAAAGCACGCATGATTTTGAAATTGCTCTGATTTTTAACAGCAGCAATTTACATTTCCTTTTTGGTTGGTTTCTAGGGTATCTGATTTTGTTTTTAAAGCAGAAGTCTAATTTTTTGGAGGAGCATATCCTCCACTCATCTGTAGTATTACTTCTAATTATAACACGTAATACTTCAAAAACATTGCATTCATTATATTTAAACATAGGATTGATGGAAAAATTACTTTATAATGTTCATAACTAACTCCACAAAAAAACTCTCCCAAATGTTATTCTTTTGTTGTAATTATTGCATTTGTTTTTATAAAACATCAATAGAGTCAATTTTAGTAATACCACTGTATGAGAACAGAAAAGAGAGTGTAAGAACCAAACTTCATTTATGTGGCAGAACTCCAATTCCATCCATGATGTTTTTGAGCCATGCTCTTTCAAAGATGTCTTGATAGAATTTAAAAACACTTCATTCGTATAGATCTCTTAATACTTCAGGAAGTACTTTTTCATTGATTATCTCCTTTCCCAGGCACTAGGCTACATTTATTTTCCTGGTAGATTCCTTATTCATCTTGGGTGTCCTGAGTCAGCCAAGAAGAAACGATTACTTAGGTTAGAGGAGGAAAAGAGGCCTGCAGGTTGCCATAAAATTTACCTCACATCTGGCTGTTGGATTAAATTTTTTAAATATCTGAAAAAATTGATAGTGATAAACTCTTCCCAGACTGTAAGTACTCTGAAGATAAGGAAACTTTCAAATAATTATCAAAGTCCCTGACACTAAGAGAATATTCAATAAGCTAATTCATTAAAAGGTAAAGTAGCAGTGGCCCTTTAAATCAAGGGAGGCTCAATGCCATGTATCAGTCAATATTTAGTCAGAAAAACAGACACTATTATGTTTATAAAGATAATTTAATAAAAGTTACACAGGTACTGGAACACTGAAGAGCAAGCATCACTTAGGTATTCCAGAGACAACTGACAGAAGCAGGAGCTATAGGTAGGCCTAGCAGCACAAGGAAAAAATTTGAATTATTAGAACCTAAAAATCTGGAGGGCAGGTCTGGTGGAGCTGAGGCTCAGAACTCTGAGGCAGTGTAATGAAAATAAATCTGGGAGTGTACGGAATAAAGCTGGGAATTGGAACCAATTTCTGATGCTAGGGGGAAAGACCATTGCTGGAGTGATACTGACAGGAACAGAGTTCCCTCTCTTACAATCTCCCTTTCAGCAACCTTGGTGTCCCCTATTCTCCTAGCCTAATAGGCATCTGGCTGGCAAAAACTAAATAAATGAATGAATGTGTAGAAGTCAAGGAAAAGGTACCCCTTTACCCTCTGGAGGTTCATTGAAAATAATTGACAAGAGGCAGATTAACTGGAGAGTAGTCAGACAAATTTATTTAACGTATATGCACAGGAGCCTTCAAAATGAAGATACGAAGATACAGGGAAAATTCTGTATTTTTATACTTAGGTTCTACAAAGTATATGGGTAGCTGTGTAGAAATATGATTGGATAAAAATGGTATGATTTAATACTAATAAGCTGAGTGGGGAATCCCAGCAAGCCATGTCTATCTAGCATGATTTTTCTTGGCCTCTCTCAGCGCAGGTTCCTTCCCTTCGAGTATGGGGCAGGACCCTCTCAGGAATGGTGGTCTGGTGACCTACATTTAAACAATGTAGGTCAGATAATTTCTCTATGGCCAGTCTTTACACAGAAAGGCATAGGGAAAGTTAGAGTAATACTTTTAGGTTTTATGGCTGGCTTTGGGGAAAGGGGATCTGGTTTCTATTAATACAGCCAGCCTTGGGGAAGAAGGATTCTAGTTTGTATGACTAGGCCTCAGGGGAAAATGGGACCGAAAGTCAGGAGGGTAGGAGAAAAAGTTTTGCTACTGAGGCTGCTTCTGAGGCCTTTATTTTGGAGTATTGTTTTCTGAGTCCCTATATTACCTTCTATTTAAAAAGCCTGAGGGAAGTAGGCTATTTATTTTAATACCTTGGCTGTGACAGATTGCCAAGTCTCTTTCGAATAAGGTTGCTACCAGAATCAAAGAGAAGACGGGAAATATTGAAAAAAAAAAAACCCTTTAAGACACTAGTGAATTACTGCGTATAGATGTTTGGGGGTGCGTAGATATTAAAATGAGAATTACAAATTTTAATAAACAGGGAACAAAGGAAAAGAAGCCGGAATGGAACATGGGTAACCTGGGGGCAAGCGAAAATTCTACCATGGAATCACTAACTAACCATGTCTTTGGCTTCCGGAAGAAAACGTCTTTGGACAGATTTCCCTTGCCTTGGTGATGGAGAAGGTGAAGTCTTGCAATTTTCAAACTCTCGTAGTAGGGTTTCGGTCTGCAGGAGCAGGAATGCCAGAGGCACTATGTCTATGAGACAAGGCTTGGCTCTTCATTTAACCGAGCTTGCTACAGTTCCGTATGTGTGAACTAAGGCCCCTGTGCAATCGTCCTAAAGAATCCCAATCAGAAAATGATAGTAATTTTAATTTCGTTTTTTTTTTTCCCGTGTGATGTAGTTAAAAGGGCCTGAAAATTCCTATTCCGGTACTTCTGACTTGCAGGATACTCCCTGGCTGAGAGAGCGCTCTGCCGGTCAGGACCTGAGACGTTGGTGACGTCATCTTGGATGGACTGCAAGAGGTGGGGCCAAACGAAAATTTCCTGTAGGCTCATCCTGTTTTCAATGAGGTCCGCACACCGCGCATATAAGTGTATTGAGTCTTTTGTCTTCTGCAGTTCCCTCTAAGAGGTCTCGTCGGTTGGTTCAGTATGTCTGGTCGCGGAAAGGGCGGAAAAGGTTTGGGCAAAGGGGGTGCTAAGCGGCATCGTAAGGTCCTGAGAGACAACATCCAGGGTATCACCAAACCTGCTATCCGCCGCTTAGCTCGACGGGGCGGTGTCAAGCGTATTTCTGGCCTCATCTATGAGGAGACTCGTGGAGTACTGAAAGTTTTTCTGGAGAATGTTATCCGCGATGCCGTCACTTACACCGAGCACGCCAAGCGTAAGACGGTAACGGCTATGGACGTGGTCTACGCGCTTAAGCGACAGGGGCGCACTCTTTATGGTTTTGGCGGTTAGTCTCCAGGTTGCACAATCCAAGGTATCCAACCAAAGGCCCTTTTCAGGGCCACCCACTTATTTCCGTGAAAGAGCTAGCATCTTTTCTTAAGTGTTCTCGTTCTCGTTTTATGCTGCTGTTTCTAGGCATGTAGTGGTTTCATGTCTAAATTACATGTAACCGATTTGGATATAGTCTCGGCTACTTAAGATTCGGAAATACTGGCTTCTCAGGCTGTGTTTTTAACCTGCTTGACGGTAATTTGCATGCCTTAGATACATCGCGCACCTTGACGTTTGTAGGTGGCAGTGAAAGTTTTAAATCCCTAAGAAGCTTCCCAGTTTTTAGCTTTTTGTGTTTGCATGTATCTCTAGTACTGTGTAAGATTAAATCTAGGTTATAACGTGCTCAAAATGGCAGGGAGGGTGACCAACAAAGAAAGCCCGCTCCCGGCGGCGGGCCTGACGAAGGACAGATCGTAAGCGAAGGCCAATTAGGATAAGATAATGTCTGTCAGAGCGTAAGTCCAGGTGGTGTGTGCGCCGCTACTTTAGACAACTACTCGTGTACAAAGGGCACTAGGGTGACAAGTAGGAAGCTCACGTGAGGAGAGTATGCAAGTGTTGTTTCGTATAGACACTAATGTATTTCTGACTTTCGGTTACGAAAATACTAGAAAGGCTAATATTCAATGAACAACGGAAACAAGTAGTGATGATAGTTTTTGTTTTTTTAAATAGTATACAGACAGGCTTCAGGACATTTCACCCCAAAGTATTAAGTATGTAACATGTAAAGTTTCTACATAATGTCACACCTAAAACCAAATTTCCTAAGACCTTGTTAAAATATACCCCAACAGGCAGACGAATTCACTGGCCAAAATTTGGCAAACCAAAAAAATAAAAATAAAATTTCATGGCCAGCACAGTAAGAGATTAGTCACGTACCCTGGTATTAATTGCCATACGGTTTCTTTCCTGTAATTAAGCAGAAGCCAGCTCCTGGAAAGCATTTCCGAAACTACAGCTGGAAAATAACAACCAACGCTGACAGACCAGCCAGACGCCAGCTGACAAATCCCCTTTCCCCGCCTTGCAGTCGTGCCACAACTCTGATTGGACAGAGGACTGTCGTAAACTCTCGTTACTGATAAATAGTGTAGACCTTAAGCCAGTTGCAGCTGGCCTGTGGAGACTGCGCACAAATTATCTTCGTGCTCTGTAGCTTACCTATTTACATAAAGAGCCAGATTTCACCTTATTTCAATGCTAAAAGCCCATCCCAAAGTGCTCATAGGATGTATGTTACATACACGTTTAATATGCTCAAACGCCTGAATTCAACCACGAATATTCATAGATTATCATCAACCTTACGCAGTATTCACGTGAAAGTCTGTAAGACTTATATACTAGCTCCCCTCTCCCTTCTGCAAAGCGTATACTTTCGGATTTTCCTGAAACCACGTTTTTCCCATCCTAGGATTGTTTCTACCTCTGAAAATAGTCTTTCCTTCTTCCGTGGGTCTCATATTTTGTTTATATCTGGCAATGCTGGATAGGGTCTGAAGTGACCCCTGATTCCACCTCCGCCCACCGTCCCCGCAGTGCCTCTGCCAACGATAGGCAGGAACCTTTTTGAAGTTTAGTTGTGCCCTGGACACGCTGGGAAAAAATCAAGTAAGCCCTATCGGATCTAAGTTTTCCCGCTTTTAAGCTGAAATCTAGGAGACTATTTTCTTTCAGAAAGGTCTGTCATCCGATTTCGGGCTAGACCTAATAGTTAACTCTCAAGGTCCTCGCGGGGAGGGGGTGGGTGGGGCACGCTGCAGTCGCACGGAAAGGCTACCTTTAGGTGAGTGCTATAGTAACTTACCCACCAAGGGAACTGGTCATTTCAGGAATTCCATTGGCTTACATGTTTAAAAACTACGGGAAAAATTCTTATGAATATTGGGGATGTGGTAGCGGTCACCAGCCCCTGTGAAACAGAAAAGAAAAAAAAAAAGGAAGAAACTCCACACCAGGAGGTAAGTTTGCAAAAATATGCTTTTGTGGCTTCTGTAACTTGCTTGCTTGCACAAACAGGCCTGCACCAGAAAGATAATAGAGCAGCTAGGAATGCCATACATGACCGCAGCTTGCACAAAGACTTCGCTGGAGATTAGAGATAAACACATTGTAACTGTGCCTTTCACCCTCCTTAAGAAATGTGTAAAAGACTGTTACACCCCTAGCTTGGGCCTCAGAATTTGGACCCTGTCCTCTGAGCCTCACCGGTAAATAAACGCTCTTCTTCCTCACCTGATCTCTGGGTCAGTCATTAGGAGAAAGATCTTCCTTCTCTTCCTGCAACAGGGATGCTGGATAAAAATAACCTGGGATGACTTAAAGCTTTGTTGGCCACAATAAGAATTACTTTATCTGCGTGCACAATTAGAACAGAGAGGATTCCGAACCTCTCAAAGGCAGTGGGGAATTTTTTCATTGGTATTTTGAGAGCACTAAATGAAATCAAGAAATCCGTACTTGCCTCCTTAAAAGAGACTAATTCAAAACTTAATCACCGTCTTCAAAAGCTTGAAAGTCCTCCAGAATCAAACCCTAAACTTAAAACTGAAAAGGACGCTGTGCCTTCTTGCCGTCCTCCTTGCGCTCCTCCACCATCTCCCCTGCTCTGTTTCCCCCTTATCACCGCTCTCTTCACTCTCCGATCTGCCATTTTTTCCTTCACAGTACCTTGGAAAAACCACTCTCTCCGCTTGCTAATTCTGCACCCCTCCGATCGTGCCATTTAAAGGGATTCCTAACTACAGGCGTCCAGATCGCCTCTTACTGTCCTTGGACCAAGTCTGAACATTTAGCTTTAGTAAGATTTTCTTAACCCTAGAACACACCCTTCAGTTTGAATGCCATTTTAGTTTGATCAGGAATGTATACTACCAGCCAGGATTTATTGCTGCTTATCAGTTAATTCGTATGTTAGTGGAAATAACCAACTGCTGTGGGTCTATGTTAAAAGCAAAATTATGAACTGCTGGAATAAACCTGTAAACCTAGCTGCAGCCTCACAGCACACCCCCATTGTACTGCTCTAGCCCAGCAACGTGTATACCTGCAAAGACAGCTATGCTAGTTAGAAATAACTGTTACAACTTCCCATAAACAGGGACGTTTTACCTGTAACCCTAAGCCTTATAAATTACCTGTGTAATTGGAGTCTGTTAAATATTTCACTGACATGTTCTTGTCACAAGCTTATTTAGTGTAAGTCTCTCTCTATGTATAATATTAGGAACCCCATTCAATATGCATGTAAAACGGACTCTATAAGACATATATACCAGCTCCTACCTCCTTTCTGCTAAGGGTGTACTTTTGGACTTTCCTGAAGGCCACATTACCCCAATCCTAGGATCTTTTCTCCCTCTGAAAATAGTCTTCTTCTTTCCTTTTTTCTATGGATTTCATGGTCCTTTGTTAGCAATCTATATGCAGTCCACATTAAAAACATCCCAGTTATGTCCCAAATGTCTTGGATATCTGGTTTGTTCTGAAAGCACTCAGGAAATTTCACCCCAGAGTATGACTCCTTGGTGTAAAGAGTATTTTGAATTAAAGACCTTTAGAGATCAGCAGGACTTGGAACGGGCTTTCCACCTATCTGCATAAACCAGACATACACATCAAAAAGAACAATTGACTTCCCTTCCCCTCCCTGTTCTCTCAAGATATTGCAGGAAACAAGATCAAGTATGCCAAATCATTTTAAATATAATACCTGTCTCTTAAGTCAATTTACAAGTCAATCTGTTCCCCCCCATCCATTTATTCTTACAAGTATATATTCATCCTCCCTAGCAACCATTTATTTCCCCTAAACACAATTACCTATATCCTCATCTCCCCCGTCCCTCTAAAAGGAGGATATATAAATTTCTGGACCCCACCTGGATATTGGGGAATCGCTCTGTGATTCTCCCCTTGTGCATGATACCTAAACCTCTTTCTCTTATTGTTCTGCTTTATTTTGAGTTGATCTTTCAGCAAACTTTTGGGTGAAAGGGACGTTTCCTATGTCACCATGTAGTGAGCTGAGATGCTTTGAAGGGTTAATGAATAAAAAGGTATAATGCAATTATAGTTGCTAGGGAACTTTAATGAACGCTATTTGCTTCTGTACAAAGCTTGTGGTTAGCAATTGTTAGAATTCAGGGCCTGATCGCCCTCCACATGTCAAGGGTTCAACTTATGATCAATGTATAACTGGAAGAATGATCTGTGTTTAATCTATAACTTAGATTGTGCTTTACTTCAATGATTGTAATTTGTCTTTGGGTACCAGAGATCTGTGAGAACAGCCAGATCTCAGGACTCTGTGTCATTGAAATATTGATTGTACCCTCTGCCTTTGTTTCCTTTGTTTTAGAGTACCTGTTCTATGGCACGTAGCCCCCCCTCAAATTAGTATAAAATTCCTGTAAAAGCTAAAGACTGGTGCCACTCTCTTGTACTGCTTTTATGCGGGCAGAGGTGGTCGCTGGCCAGCTAATAAAGACTCTCAATTTGGCTCCATTAAATTCTCTCGTGGTCTGTTTGCGTCCTCCACACTACAACAACCACACCAAAGGCATAAGATGTCTGCTTTTTCTAAATCTAAGATGATAGATCAATTACTGGCTTAAAGGGATATTTCCAAATCAAGTTTTTCCTACTTGTGGCCAGCAAATAATCTGTAGGGTGCTACGTTGAAATCAGGAAAGTCAACAGAGTTATTTTGAATCTTATCTTTTTAAAAAATAGGCAAAAATATAGAAAGAATCAGATGTTATTGGAGCTAAGGCATTGGTTTGAAGAGAAAAACTGATTTGAGAATGTTAATTTAATAACAACAACAACAACAAAAATATATATATATAGCGAGAGAGCACATAGCATTGTAACGAGCTCCATGAACAAATTTCAATGACCCCATATGGTTTTTATAATTCTCTCTCTTAACCAACTACTTAA